GGAATCATTTAAAATCCTCAGTTTTAACATCTCCTTACAACCTAGAAGCTTCTGCAGCTTACATAAGGATTGTGCATCCCCGAAGATGTGGAGGCTCCTAAAGGTCACGTGCAGCCCACAACCGCTGCCGTACCCATCGCCCATTGTAAAATCATCAGGGTATTTTGGAGTATCAGAAACAAGTCTGAAATTCTGCAGCAGCTAAATAGTGGAAGGAAACTCGGTGAGGGGAAGCATTCTCAGGGATTTAGGGATTTAGGGATTTTCCAAATGCCAAGAATTAAACTAGGCAAATTCACATGCAGAGGATGACCTGGCCTGCAGGGCGAGGTGTACAGGGAATTAAGCTGCGGGCTGTTGCCCCCCTGGAGGCAGAGACCGGCCAGAGGTTGTGGAGTAGCAAAACATAGCTGCGGCGACAGGAAGCAGGAGCCGCTACTCTCCTGCGGCCAATTCAGAAGTCAGGCACTTCCTACGCAGCATGATGAGATAACCCAGAGTGTTAGAGACCAAGTAAGGCAGGGAGGAAAGAAATGATCATAAAATATTAACGCAGAGAAAACTAGAAGACTAGACAGAAGCAGCGCACAGAAAAGGGAAATAAGATAGTGGGCAGGAGGCAGGGTAAGGAGAGAATAAGGAGCTATGGCCCAAAGGCAGGGAGAAAAGCAGCTGGTCGGACTGGAGCAGAAACCTAGAAAGGCAGAAGACTTGCTCACCCCATCAGTGAGTGGTGAGTCGGGAAGCGAGCACCCCTCCATCAGTACTTGGGATGTTCCCATGGTACCTGCAGTGCCAGGTTCTAGAGCCCTGGGAGTGAACAAAACTGCCAGATTCTACTCAAGTGGTGTTGACAGCCTTGGGACTGGGTCCAGGGCATCCACCCTTAACTCATCGGCTCTGCCCTGGAGCTCCACGCCTCAGCATGCTTCAGTCATTTTCTCACTCTTAAGTGTCATCTGTCATCAAAAAGAAAGGGCTCAAGAAGCAGCAGAGGGGGGTGAGGAGATGGTTCAGTAGAATAAGCACTTGCCTGGTAAGTGCAAGGGCCTGGGTTCAATCCCTCGTTCCACAAAAAAAAAAAAAAAAAAAAAAAAAAGCAACTGAGGCTGAGGATATGGGTGATGAAGAACTCAAAGTAATCTGTCTGAGAGGAAAGCTTGGACAAAGGGGGCGGGGCAGCCAGCTCCCTTTAACCCTCCCAAGAGGAAAACTGAAATGAAGGAGAGCAATGAAGAAAGTCGATTCTGAAGGGAGCAGCCCTTTGTGTCTTTGCTCCCCTTTGGAAAGTTGCTAAAGCAAGTACCATTCCGGGCGAGGCCCTCCCCCAGCGCAGCTGGTCAGCAGCTGTGCAGGGAGAATCATGCGGCTCCTCCCGAGGGAAGAGGACTGCTCCAAGCAGGGCAAGTGAATCCTATACCCTACCCCTGGTGGAGTGGTCAGATTGGGAGCAGGCAGGTCCGCACTAGGCTCAGACCCAGCTGGGCGCAGCCATACACTCAAGGGAATGAACCAGATGGTGCCATGTAGGGAGTCTTCTTTGGCCTGGAAGCAACTCTCACTAATGGGCTGAAAAGCCAGCATCCACTTCGCTTCCACTGTATTCCTCAGCTGCAATGAAACACATGGGTGTTTGGTGTGGAGGGCATAGAGCTGGAGGCCCAGCATGTGTGCCTGCTGGTGGGGATGTGGTGCTCCGGGTCTGCCAGACCTGGAGGTACAGGAGGAAAAGAAGGATGGGAAGGAGTGACCAGCAGGAAGAGAAGACACGTAGGAGTGCGAAGCTGGACTCTGTAAGAAGAGGAGGTGCCCTTGAAGGAACTATGGGCGATTTCTAGGTTCTCCAATCACCGTTGTAGCATTCACATTCAGTTCTTTTTTTTTTTTTTTCTTGTTTTGTTGTCATTAGCTGAAATTCTTCAAATAAGGGAACCACCCTCTGCTGGATGAGATGATTGACGGAGTAGTTACATTCCAGATGGAGTGGTGCTTGCTGTGCCCAGCTCGTCCATACTTGTAGCTATTAAGCACAGGGGAAGGCGGGTGTTTGTACAAGTCTCTTTAATCACACTGTTGTCACCATTAGGAAGAAATATGTGACAACACATAGGCATCATAATGTAAGATGATTTCTTTCTGGAATAACTATATTTACACGAACCTAGTAATCACGTTGACACTGATCACATTCTCTGCCTCTCAGATGGCATTTGAAAAAGTATCTTTCCAACTCAGCTTGCCCCAACAATATACCACTAAACTCCATGTGTACTTTTCCCCCACCAAAAAAATGTTATATATTTTGAGATTCCATACAGGAACATAGGCCCTAAATTCAGGCTATCTAATTTACAATCTCAGCTCTTCCAGTAACTATCTGAAGGACTTGTGCTGAGTCACTCAGCTTTATTAAATGGCCATGTCTTCAGTCATAAGATAGGAATATGGAGCGAGTCATAGAACTCCTACTGCTACTAATGATGATTAAATTGTTTGTTAAGTGCTCAGTGTAGGTCTTAGCTCAAAATAGATATGCAGTAACTCTAAACTTCAATGCGAGGACAAAAGAACTAAAGAACAAAACTTATTTATGTGTTTTTCTTAGGTGAACAGTCATCACCAGTGAGTGTGTGTGTGTCTATGTGTGAGAGAGTGTGTAACCTGTGTGTGTTGGTTTCTCTGAAACGTGTTGAGCTGCACAAGAATGTGTCCGTGACATGGTGCCCACTGAGCACAGCACCATTCTCTCTGTGTTGGGCTCCACTGTACGTAAGCTCACTCTTAGGCTAAATGGCAGATCCCCATTTTCCAAAGCCATTTGTAAGTGTACCCCACCTTGTGTCATGACTCTGATGGGCCCATAATAGCACAGGCTGGAAAACAAAGACAGAAAATCAAGACCATAAAATCAAGAGAAAAAAGTTGTGTTGAGACCATTAGAGAGTAGCCATTTGATGTTTTCTTTTTTCAGGGAAGGAAAGTAAACCCACAGAAATAATAAGACTGATCCCAGCCAGTCAAATAGCTCAGCAGATTAAAGTGCCTGCAAGCAGGTGCAGGGGCCTGAGGTTCAATCCCCGGGCCTGCTGTGCTGACCTCTCCCACAGGGCACTCTGAGAAGGTGATTCAGACTGGGCAAGATGGCACGCCCCTGTAATCCCACCACTTGGGAGGCTGTAATTAGGAGAATCACTATGAGTCTGATCTGGTAGTGAGACCTTGAACACCCTATAGACCCTTCCCTAAAACACAGAAGAAAAAAAGAAGAAGACTGATCTCAAAGCTGTCCACACAAATGGACATAAAACCAGTGGAAGAGGGGACAATGTAGAAGAAAGGAAGGGAAAGAGATGAGATGAAGCAAAAGCCACTGTGTTCTTCTGCACAAACCAGGGAGGAATGAAGAGAGACAGTTGCAGTGCTGTCATTCAAAAAGTGCCTTTGGTAGGAAGTACTAGAAGTCTAAGGAGTGGAGAATAAAACAGGCTCCACTAGGAGGTCTAGGACTTTATATCCTTATAGCGTATTAATACTGCAGTGATCAAGTATGGATCAGCAATGTCTGTCTGTCTGTCTGTCTGTTTGTTTGTTTGGAAATTGGGTGATAGATAAGACAGCTCCGAGACTGTGCCCTCTATGAGGTCCATGGTCCACCAAGCTGCAGCCACGAGGTCTGAGGATCACTGTGCAAGGTGTCGAGAGATGTGGACTCTGACTCCCTCTGTGCAAGTCAGTGGTTAGGTTTGGGTAGATGAGAGAATGGATACAAGCATGAAGGACACAATGGCTCGACTTGAGAGGACAAAAAGTGACCAATGACTTCAAAAACATTTGTAGTAACAGCAAAACAAAAATGCTGTATTAATAATGAGTAATAATATTATAAGCCTGGTTAGGCCAGGGATTAGGAAAGACTGACTGTCAAGCAGTTGAAGACCACTAGGGAGTGGCTGGGGGTACTGAGAAGGGAAGCACATCGTAATAATAAAATGCATCAACAGGAAAAAATGGTTGAGACTTGCTGGCCACAAGCTGGCTGTGATGTCAACTTGATTGGATAAGAAATATCCAAAGAGTTGAGTGGATGCTGGTGCTGCTAACCTCATCCATGTATTAACCCACTAACAAACTCGTAGCTGAATGAACTACTAGGAGGAGGGGCCTATTGGCAGGAAGTGGGTCCTAGGGAAATGTCAAGAACAGTCCCTATGGACTATTGACTGTGTCCCCATGGACTGTTCTTGGAACTACATCTGGCCCCTTCCTCTTTCTCTCTGGCTCTTCTCCATTCCCTGATTCCTGGTGGCCATGAGGTAAACAGCTGTCTTCCTCCAGGCCCTTCCACCACAATATCTCTCTCTGCCTTTGAGCCCAAAGACTATGGACTGAAACTTCTGAAGCCGTGAGCTAGGATGAACCTTTCTCCTCTAGGTTGCGTATGTCAGGTTTTTGCCTCAGTGACAGAAAGATGATACACTGGCAAAGCCAACATGTCTTACACTTGAGGTCTCATTGAAGTACACAGCTCCAACAGTGGGGAGGAAAGGAATTCATGAACATATAGGCTCTGTGTATGGCTGGCTCTACATCAGAATATAAATGATTTGTTCAAGTAAGCAAATTCTAATATGGGTTGTTTGAGTAGATTCCAACTTATTTGAAAATTTAGGCAAAACAAACGTTTACACCTGTAGTCAATCAACATTTAATGTTTAATTTTTAAGGCCACACAAAGCCATCCAGGGGTAGGCTATCACTGAGAGAACTGATGGAATGTGCTGCTTTGCTGATAGCTGTCCATGGACTGAGTAAGCAAGAATGGTCTTTGAGGATATTACAAAGAGGTTACTGGCAAGTGTGGGAAACCCAAATGAATCTGGAATCATCTGCAACTTTTTAAAGACTTAAAGATATTTTCTTAAAAGTGTGTTGGCTTATTTTCCTAGCCATGTGTCCTACTGACTTGCAAATAACATGTATGACTCTGTGTTTTCTTTCAGGGTCGTTGTTCCCTGATTTCAAGCCCTCAGAAACAGTTTTTAAAATAGTGTTTTGGCTCGGATACCTGAACAGCTGCATCAACCCCATCATCTACCCATGTTCCAGTCAAGAGTTCAAAAAGGCCTTTCAGAATGTCTTGAGAATCCAGTGTCTCCGCAGAAAGCATTCTTCCAAGCACACCCTGGGCTACACCCTGCATGCCCCCAGCCATGCGGTGGAGGGGCAGCACAAGGACACGGTGCGCATCCCAGTGGGATCTGGGGAGACCTTCTATAAGATCTCCAAGACCGATGGGGTCTGTGAATGGAAGTTTTTCTCTTCCATGCCCCATGGATCTGCCAGGATTGCAGTGCCCAAGGACCAATCCACTTGCACCACTGCCCGGGTGAGAAGTAAAAGCTTTCTGCAGGTCTGCTGCTGTGTGGGGCCCTCAACCTCCAGCCTTGGAGAAAACCACCAAGTTCCAACCATTAAGATCCACACCATCTCCCTCAGTGAAAATGGGGAAGAAGTTTAGAGGATGGGGAAGGTCACAGGGAAAGGGATGATTCTAGATGCCTTACCCCTTCCTGCTCAAAAGACAGCTCACCTTGCTTGGAGGAAAAGAAGGGAGAAATCAGCAAGGTTACCATCTGGGCAATGAATGGGAGAGGAGACCCAACTCTTCAGGGAATGCATGGGGAACAGGAAAGAGGTTGGACACCTCACAGCCAACAGGTTTGGCATGACTCTAGATGACAATCCCCTGACCTGACTCATTTGTCTTCTAAGCCTGCTTTCTACAACTGTCCCTTTCAACAAAAAATACCATGGGAAACAGAATCGCATACACAACCCGAAAGAAGATAAATATAGGATTATGATGTCATCGTCAATATTTTGAGCGTATACTCTTAAGTTTGGAGCTATTTCTTGATGAAAGTAAAGGAACTTTATTTTCTAGTGATGCCACTTTTGACATTTATGGAGCGAGACCCCAAAGAGGATTGTGAGGTGGTGGCCAACACCCAGGCCCATTACTTTTAGGATCAGTTTTAAAATGCTACTGTTTCTCATACATCCAGTTTCTCAGCTTGGGTGAAACAGATAGTGAGATTTCCCTTTGGCCTCATTTTGATTGGATGCTGTCCTTAACTCCTAAAGATGAGGGTGAGGAATATTCTTCTTGCAGAATGAGAAGAAGGTTCATGTTCTACCCTGAGAAACTTTTGGTCATCATATAAGAACAATGACATTTGTATCCATGGAAAGCTGGAGAGTGCAGAACCACCTGGGAAGAGCATGCTTTTCCCTAGAGATTATGACAGATGTGAGGCTCATCTTTGCAAATTAACTGCTAGGGCCCTAAATCCTTTCGGTGGTTCTGAGAGCAGATGTGGGAGGGCTTCTCCTGTATCACATTGAAAGATCAGCAGGTTGAGGGTGCTAATTTCATGCTAAGCTAGCAGCTGCCAAACTACTCCATAGCCTTTTGGATGTGGTGTAGAAAAGCCTTTCTTGACAAATTACTTGCCTTTCCCAGAGCTCTGTTATGAAAACCTAGAGCTTATATCTCAAAAGGCAAAATGATTAACTTCCATTTCTCACCACCTGCTTCACTCCTGCATCATGAATAAGGTTCCCCTGTGACACATTGGAATGAGCCTTAAGACCCAGGGACACCCTTCGTGGATCTGGAAGGATGCTGATCTTGGACACACACTGACTGGTCACCAAAGAACAGCCCAAAGTGGGGATTTGCAGTCATTTTTTGGCAGAAAAACATTCATTCCAGCAAAAGATCCCATAACCCACTCTAATTCATCCATACTACTCTTTCCAGGAACTTGGGCAATGTCTCTTGCTGCATAGCTACCAAATTTTGATAAACTTTAATAACTCAGATTATTGCTAATGATGACAACATTAACTATATATAAAATTAAAATATGCATGTTATCCCACCATAAGAATTTAAAATATGATTAATATTTTTATAACAATTCCTGCCCAAAAAAAAGTCATTGATTTAAAACTGCTGGTCATTTCTAGGGTCCCTTCCCTATTTCTATAATTTCATCCAGGAATTTCGAAGCAGCTTGGAGGTGTTATATAGCTTTCCAGCAAGAATCATGGCCCAATCATCTCTCTTTTAGCAAAATAGTTATTTCCTTAAGTCTTGCTACAAGCAGATCTCCTTTAACCTTGCTGTGGAGGATATGTTTTTATATGGATGTAGGTTTGTGAGTGACAGTGTTTGAGCTTTGGCTGTGGCTGCTTTCTCAGCTTTCTGGATAGTGTCATATTGATGAGAGAAATACATACTTGACCTTGTCGTAAGAATGTGGATTCTGGCCCTTAGAAGTTGGCTGGACTTTTAGACTCCACAAGTCTCTCAGCACGGCCCATACCAGTCTGGGTAGAGGTGGGGTCCTAGTCTAGAGGCAGGCATGCAGGGAGAACTTGAATATTAAAGCCCCCTGGTCCTTTGCCTTGGCAGGAAAGAAGCTCTGTCTCTGAGAAGAGCTTCTTTCTGATTCTAAAAATCACTCCTGGCCTTGACTTGCCCTTAAGAAAGATCATCTTCCTGGGAAGAGCGGCCATAACTTATCACATAAAATGTGACCCCCTGTGAGGCATGATTAGTAAACACCTTTATGGATAACTTTACGTTGTAGATGTGGGAAAGTTTATGCGCACCGGAAAATGAGCGTTAATGCCGCTTATAAAAACAAACAGCTAGAAAATCTTTTGGTCATCAGATAAGAAGCATAACAATTGTATCCATGTAAAGCTATCCATAAAAAAATTGTCTGTTCCAATCTTCCCCAGCCCTTCCCTCCAGGGAGGTAAACTTTTAACATTTTTTGCCCTTTTCCCATAGCATGATATTGGGTATAAACATGCCAACTTTACAAAAAAAAAAAAAAAAATTGACATTACCCGGAATTTGGTGATAAATTGAGATAAACAATACACAAATTGAGTTGCTTTTCACTCACCCACAAAAACATCTGTACCTCTATGCATGCCAAAAAAAAAAAAAAAATCTAAAACTGTTACAGCTAAACAAATGATTGTCATATTTATACTCACATGTTTACTGCTTCTATTTGGAGCTGGAGGAATTTACCCAGAGTAACAGCGGTTAAAATATCTTCTCTAATGTGTTACAAAAAGCCATTGCTTTGGAATTGCCTGAACGTGACAGAAGTCAGTGCCCTTATGGGGTGGGCAAAACTTGAGTTTATTCTGCAATGATGACGTGCATTAAGCAGAGTGTTAAATCTCTTTGTTCACAAGTTTCCTCGGTCTGTAAAAGAGTTTCAGAATTCATCGTCCTCAGCCCTGTTGCCTTCTTTTCTCCTCTCCTGTCTCAGCCAGTTCTGCTTCCGGTGTAACTGCCTGGTATACCCCCCACTCTCCACAACGTGAAGTCTGCCCTCTTACTGCCTGCCTGCGCTGGCCCGTGCATGGCAGGGAGTGTCTCAAGCCTTCTCTGTTAGGCTGCACTGTGTCAGGAAGCCTTGGCTCTAAACTCCTAACAATTTCATTCTTCCTATTTTAGAAATAAAAATCTGATGTCTGAGTTAATTAAGCACTTGACCAAGGGCAAGGAGGATGTGCCTTAAGCCTGAATCCCCCCAATTCTAAGCATTCTTATTCTCCACAGCACCCCTACACCAGCCGGTGAGGCACAGTGACCTCCCACTGGGGTCAGATATGTGAGGATGCCAAACTGCAGCCAAACTTCAGAATGTTTTGCTTCCTTGTGATTTACCTATAAATTAACCTTAGCAAATAAACTGCCAAGTCTCCAACCCAGCCAGATCCAAGAGCAGGTAGAACACCGCTGGGAGAGGCTGGTGTCTATCACACTATCCGACGGCACTCCCTTTTTAGTGCCTGAATGTTGTAAGGCTTGGCAAGAAGGGCAGTAATATCAAATTAGGAGAGGAGCATAGAAGAGAATGCAGAAGATGCCAGGCATAGTGGTGCTTGCAAGCAATCCCAGCACTTGGGAGGCTGAAGCAGGAGGGTCTTCAGTTTGAAGCAAACTTGGGCAATGTAACAACAACCTGTGTAAAAGAAGTAAGAGGGAAGAGAAAGGGGGAGAGAGAGAGAGAGAGACAGAGACAGAGAGAGGGGGGAGGGAGGAAGGAAAGAGGGAAAGAAGGAAGGAAGGAAGGAAGGAAGGAAGGAAGGAAGGAAGGAAGGAAGGAAGGAAGATGCAAAAGCTAGCATTGGCTGAGACAACAAGCACAATGGTAGCAAGACACACACAGAGGAAATGTTGGAGTTACTCATTACCAGTCATGGTTAATTTAATCATAAAGGAAGTATATATTTTAAAGAAAAACACCAACAAATACAGCATCATGCTCTCTCACCTGTATCCCAATTTGTTTTGTTCTTTGTCTGGAAAGGAAAAGGCTGTAGGAGCTGCAGAGAATGTGCTAACTGTGTGACCCTCACAGACACCACTGTGAGGGAAGGGTCCAGCCTGCTGACCTTCCAGCAGTGAGAGGCCCAGGCAGTCCCCCAGGTTGGCAGCTGTGACATGACCAGAGGCCCTTTCCTCTCTCGCAAATGAGAGGTACACATCCAGGCACCGTGGCTTGCCCCTCAACCTCTGCCCTGAGAATCATCATGTCGCCCTGCTGAGCCAGTAGGATTGGGAATTTCAGCCTGGGAGTGAGAACATTTTAGGAACCATTTTCTTGGGCAGCTAATTGTTCACTCTTTATTCACACAGCTACTTAATCAGCCTTGACAAACATTCTCATTGCTTCTGGAGAGCATGCTGCGCAGGTCCTCTTGCCTAAATAGATCTTCCTTCTACACATGAATAGTTGTCAGCTTAATTAAGGAAAGAGCTTTTCTCAACAGCACGGGGAAAAAGCAAAAAGATGGAAGCTGAACAGGTAGAAAGCCAAGTCTCCCCGCTGAAGCCGGGTGACAGAGGAGAAGCCACAGGTGGAAATGTGGAGCCCTCAGAGGTTACTCACCCACGGCTCTGATCTCTTTTTGCACTACTGGGACTTCTAGCTGTGAAGCCACCTGTGCGCGGTTCCCGTCCAGCTACCTTGGAACACTGCTCCTGCTCTGTGTCTATCAGCTCTGGCGTGAGCAGGGCCGAGGCCACCCACTGTCTTCCAAAAGCAATGGCAGCGGGGGCCACTGGCCTCCAAAGGCCCCGCGAGAGGAGTGAGCAGGGCTGACAATTTGACAGTGGGCTGCAACAGCGGGTCAGGCTCTCAGCAGAAGACGCTGACCCTTGCCAGCGTGGCCATTGGCATGACCTTGTCTGTGTCCTCAGGACCCAGATGTCATGTGGGTGGGCTAAAAAGGAGCCTCATCTGCTCTGTGCAGGAAAATGTCATTTGTTCCTTGCCACAGCACCGTGGATTTATGGGTTTTCCCATGTAGAAGAAAGCGGCCAGCTGGGGCAGGGGGTGGGGATGGTAGACTCAGCAGAAACAGGACTTCAAGCAGGGTTCTGTCCTAATGCTCTATTGCAGCTGATACATAAGCAACTAGCAAGAGGATGCAGATTTGTTCATTTCAAAAGAGAAAGTAATGAGCCCTCCTTGTGCCAAGGCCACGGAGCTATTACATGGCTCTTCCTCTGTATCCATGAAGACACATTCTAAGCTGGAAATGGTCATTGCTGAACAATTTAAGTACAGACTCAGGTTGAAAAGGGCTGGGGAGATAGCTTGGCAGTTTAAGCGCCTGCTTAGCAAGCACAAGGACCCCGGTTCGATCCCTGGTACCACAAACTATGCCAGCTCTGGTTGCTGAGCCAGCCAGCCATCAAAACTGGGCATGGTGGCACACACTGACAATCCCAGCGCTGGGGAGGTTGAAAGAGGAAGATCACTACGGGTCTGAGCTGTGTAGCGAGACTCTGTACCAAACACGTAAATAAAAGACTTTTTTAAAAAATAGGTTAAAAAGCTGAGAGCAAATACATACTATATTTAGAGAAAACTATGATGCAGACACTGGTGTTTAAAATAGACTAAATATATGGAGAGAAGAAACAAAGACAGGATCCCAGCATATGCTCTGTATTTATCCCCATGAAATACCTCATACTTGTCAAAGTAATTTCACCTGCCTTGAGTACTCTTTTGTGATTCATAGAAAGAGAAGGAATGGTTTATGACCTGTCCTTGGCATAGGAAGAAATAAGGGGGTTGTTCAAAGATTTCCTTGAAACCCACCCCATCCAGCCTCTGACTCCCCTTTGAGACCTCAGTGTCCCCAAGGTCCCCACTTCTGTCCCACTCTTCCAGCTCCACCTTATCTGCAGCTCTGCTCGCGCCTTCTCTCCTGCGCTCTCTGCCAGCCCCAGGCAGTGCAGGCGCATCCGTGCTTCTCTCTGTGGCCGACAGACAGGCACATGCAACTCTGTTCTTTCTCCCAAAATAGGCAGCCTCAGAGCCAGCCCAGGGCTGAAGGAAAAAGCAGGGCGGGAGGCTCTCAGTTTGCTCAGCAAAGTGAAATGTAAAGTAGAGCCGAAGAACAACAGTCTCCTTGAGGCCCTCAGAGGTCCCAGAGGGTGCTGCAGGAATTTGCCTTTGCGCTGCAGCCTGTGACTCCTTGTACACACGCTGATGGTCAGCAGCAAATTCGCCCTCCCGCATCCAGCACTGCGCTGGCACGAGACCTGCAGCGAGGCACAGACAGTCCCCAGCTTACAAGCTGGCCGGAGCCCAAGGCCGTCTGTGCAGAAGGCAAGAATGTGTTTTTCCAAGTGGCATTGTTCTAAGTGAGGGAGGGAAAGGATGTCCCAGATGAACCAAAAAATAAAATCCTATTTAATGTACACTGAGAGTTGCCAAACTTTTTCTGTAAAAGGTTAGTGAGTACATATTTTAGGCATTACGAGCTATATGGTATCTATCACCCATTCTTCTTTGTTTTGACTTTTTGGGGAGAAAATGGACAATCTTTTTAAAAATGGGGTCAAATTTAGCCCCTGGACCACAACTTGCTGCATATGACCTTCGGCATCACCAGCTTTCATGGAGTGCATGTGACATTAAACAATGGCTTCTGGTGTTCGACATACAAACAGCTTTTTAAAAACGTGTCACTCACATATCTTGACTGGGCTGAAGCTACATGACCTTCTAGATAAAGTGACATCATTCATTGGAACCTTCCAAGCAGGTGTCAGGAATGCAGGTGAGCACCCACCACGCTCCACCCCCATGTTCTGTGGAAAAAGCCATCCACAGGTGAGTCCTTGGGTCCCACTTGTCACCTTCTAGGCAGATGGGCATGACAATCTGCTTGACTCTGAGCTGCCACAACAAGTAGATGTTACGTGACCAAGGCGGTCCTGCGATTCTTCCCAGGTCCTCGGAAGCTGCTGACATGGAAGTCCCCAAAATCTTTCTAAGGTCATGCTTGCCACCTGAAGAGGAAGACTCCTGACCATGATGCCCTGCACCAGGGATTCTGAGTGCCTCTCAGAGCTCATAAGTCCTTCACGGGATGCAAAGAGAGGGTGTCTTCCAAAGGACCAATGGGAGGATTTCACTCCTTTTCTCCCTCCTCTGTTTCTTCCTTCTTCCATTTTCCTCTTCTGGGAAGTCTGAAACCACCTAACTAGAATAGAAGAGCTAAGGGAAGTGCTCTGGGGGCACATTCAGCCTTCCTGGGGATGGGGACATGTATCTACCTGAGGTGGTGCTTTGGAGATCTTCTTCCCTCCCTCAATTCCTCTTGATGGTGGTAAGGAAGAAGCAAACAAGCTTGGTTGGAAATGAGGCTCAGTTCCCATGGCCTCAGGCAGGAGTCAGAGTGTTAAACGAGGGTACTCCATGCCCAGATCTGCAGTGGGGCATGGGCAAAGGCAGTCCATGGCCTGGCTCTACAGTGGGGCATGGGTGAGGGCACTCCATGGCCTGACTCTGCGGTGGGGTGTGAGCGAGGGCACTCCATAGCTCAGCTCTATAGTGGGCGTGAGTGAGCGCACTCCATGGCCCGGCTCTGCACTGGGGCATGAATGTGGTAGATGCAGATCTGACCCGGAGGGGACTGGAAATGTCAAAACCGCTTGGCAGCAATGCTGGTTTCTCCGTGAGCACAAAAGGAAGGCTTGATCAGGCTCTCCACGGTGGCCCACTTGCCAGGGGCAGGGCTGGGAGACCAGCCACAGAAAACTAGGAAATGGCTGGGAAGGCTCAGGTAGTAGGGGTGACCCTGGGGTCTCTAAAAGTTATAGTAATATCCCAATTTGGGTGCAGAGCCCAGCAGTAGGGGATTCCAGGCTGACAGCCACCTGCAAGCATCCCAAAGACATCTGCACCTGGGAAAGCAGAGTCCTGGCACTGAAGGTAGCAGACCCTCCCCTTGGAGGGCAAGATGATGGGATCTGAGCCAGCCCAAGTGTTGGTCCCAAGTCACTCCTGTAGGTAGGTTAAGGCTGCCTGCCCCACACCGCACTGACATAGAAAACAGGTACAAGATCCTTCAGGGAGCTTTCCTCTCTTCTGTCTCCTGCCCTAAGCTGAAAGGTGGCCACATGCACCTCATATGTTGAAAGACATGGACAGCAACTCCTGAAAACAGGCCTCTTCATTCAGACCTTCTGAGACCCCCCGAAGTCCCCACTGCCCAAGGGGAACAGTGCAGTGCCCAAAAACACCTTGTCCTGTCCACCTTCTCGTGCAAAATTCTATCCTACTTCAGTTCCTTCAACCCGCCCATGCCTCTCAGTGCAGTTTGTGGCCCTAGAAGTCCCATGGTGACATCCATGGTGGTGCCCTCCTCCATCCGCTCCCGCTGGGAAGCCAGGAGCCTTTGTCCTCATGCGCAAGGCCCAGGGTGCTCTCACAGCTGGCTGTGCTGCCTGTGCAAAAGATGCTTCTGCTTTGCTCTCCTGGGCAACTCCCTCCCGTCCCCAGGGATGCTGCGACTGGAAGCATTTCTGATCCCAAGGGTCGGCCACAGAGGAACATCCTGCTATCTGGTCATTAACTTCCATCCAATCTAGAAATACCAGAGAACAAGGCACACAGAGAGGCAGGACCTATACAAACAATCCAAGCTTCCCAGCCCAGACCCAGGGCTTACCAAGGATTCAGGTGCTAAAAGAGTCTTTCTTCTTCCCACCTGATTCA